TAAGAGACTTAAAGCGTTTTCTTTGACAAGTTGTTGCACACGATAATTATAGCAACTGTTCATGATCTTTTTCTGACAGGTATTCTGGTTTTGTTGCTGGAATTAATGAGGTATAAAGAATTATTTCAATGAATTCTTGTTGATTATGATGTATAAAAATAATATATTTTGTAGTAGGTATACGAATTTAAACCGATTCACATTTTATATTTTAAAAGCAATACACATTAAAGCTTGCAATTAAAATGCTGCAGCCGTGCGAACTTCAAGGTTGGCGTTATGTATTATTAAATCGGAATGAGTTGTAAGCAATGCATCCTAGTCATAACGTTCTTAATCAAGGAATTTCTGCAACTTTCAAGTTTTATTCATTCTCAAGCATCCCACGCAAAGCAGTAAATAAGCTTTGTCCACATTTATGAAGACGTCTACCCAGAAGTTTCACAAGTTTGTGAAACTGTGAGTTCAATGAATCCACTGTTCATATAAAATATGCCACAGAAATAAACATAACAATATTTAAAAACGGAGTTTAAGTAAATACCCTTGTAATAAAAGACAGTTGTGTTTAAAACAACAGCGAGAACACTCTTGGTTTCCTGGCCAAGTCAAAAAGAGGAAGAGCAGGCGAAATGCAAACGTGGTAAAATGTCTCTTCACATACCAGGGCATTTAGAGTGTTTTGATTATTAAACATGATAAAAATATTTTAAAATAAAACATTCAAAAGTAAGACAATACTTATAGAAATCCCCGCTACCTAAATACCCTTTAGTCTTCTTCCTCAGTTTTTGACTGTAGTAATTGGATCAGACTAAATGAAAATTTGTAGGGACATGATAACTATTCTTCAGCAGGCTATAATACTATCACAGCGGGATAAGTATCATTTCGTCACGTTAACAGCCTACAGGTGGAATTAATACAATTATATGAGTGTTAAATGTTTTGCTTTGTCTTCGCAACTTACAAACTTAGGATAGTAATTTTACTTTTTTTTTAAGTTATTATTATGTTTCTTTTTTGCGGCATTCGTTTGTCTTGTACTTCTGAAATAGCAAGGCAAATGCATCTGTGTGAGGTAAACGTAAAGAAGACTTTCACAATTAGGAAAGCTGTTTAGCCCAAATTCATAGGATGCTATTTAGCAAAATCCAAACAATGACATAGCAATCTGCACTATTGAACTCAAATATTTGTGTTTGCCTTTGAAATACATCGACATGTTAAGTAAATATTCATTTTTAGAAACTGAAAACATTACAAAAAGTAAAAACAAACAACTGGTGCAAAATTATCGGTTATGTTAAAGTAAGTTACAATATTTACGTTTTAACTTCACAATATTCTAAGAATAGTAGGAACAAACAATAGCAAGAACAAACAACAGAATACAGACATTAACGAATAAAAATACAGAGAAATTACTGAAACAGATATTACACCCATTTGGCTTGTTTGTAGCTGTTAGACTTGCATAACTAAAAAAGATTAACTTCAAATCTATGAAAGTTTATATGTGTAATAGAACATTATGATTAGACAGAAGGAAACTATAAGTCTTGTTCTTCTGTCTTGTCTGTGGTTATTGTTGTTATAATTTTACATTGAATATTTTATACTTTATAATATTTACTTATGTATTAAGTTCCATTTTTATTTCCCCAACCATGGAAGCACAATACCTCATTGACCAGAAATACCAAATAATGATTAACATAGTTAATTTTGATTATTAATTATTGATATAAGAAATCATTGTGATCTATTTTATAAAGATAAAGCACGTCTTCAAATGCCAGTTAAGTGGTAATTTATTTGACTGTTCAATATTCATTGGGGAAAGTGGTTTACCACAGTACCTTAAGTACCGAAAGCAACTGAAGTATTGAGATCCCAGAGCTGACCTAGAATATACAAGATTAAGATTTTCAAATTAAGGTTAATAAATGTAAAACACTTTAGCAAACGAGACAGAAACACGGAGAAGCAATCTGATGTAGCACCGTCTAGTGGAGGTTAAAAAAATGCATCAACCAATTTTCTTCGTATCCTTGACGAGTTTAAACAATCGAGCGCTCGACTGTGCATAACATAAAGATTCTGGTCGATATACAAAAATGCTGTTGAAGTCGTTTGTTTTTCTTTATACAAACATAAAATAATTTTAAAAGTATCATATAGTATTGGAAATCGTAACTAATACACGCTATTTGTACTTCAGAGACTTTAAGAACGTTTGAAAATACTGCAGCTCGCACCACACACCAAGCACTGACCGATCATAAATGACATCCTTTTAAATTATTAAAAGACTATGACTGATAATGTGCCATTTTCTGTTTTATTCTTAACTTTCTCTGATTCTAGCTTTGATCTCTATGGAAAGAGATTTATTTGTGCTTCGGTCCTGAATGAAATTCAGACGTTTTAGAAATTCATTAGGTTATCATTAAAATCCTTTCTGTAGCTTACAAACATTTTATTGAACAGACAAGACATACAGTAAATAGTCTATTGTGCTTAATATTTGACATCAGCTGGTGTTATCAACAGGGTTTCTACTATGAATATCACAGAGTAGTAGAACTGTATATGTGAGCACCATCATGAGCAATATAAAATGTACAGCTGTGACAAATGCTTGCCACAGGACTTAATCCATATAGCACCGTGCAGTCAGGTTGCGATTGTCCACTACAAATGGAGATATTAGCAATTAGAAACTCAAGCTCAGACTGTTACACTTTGACCTCAGCACTGATGTTGGTGATCTTGACTCATGGTCTTCCTGATCATAGCCAGACCTTTGGACAGAATGTGAATGACTGTAAAGTCTTGCCAGGTTAGAAATTGCTCCTAATAGAAGTCTAATAGAGTGATTACTGTAGTATGACATGAATGATCATTTAATCAAATGCAAAAAACATTTAAACGATGCCCAAATTCCACACACTTCCATTTCTCTACAATATACATAGAGTGAACCATTTCTTTTGATGTTTGATAAATGTGTTGTATACAGTGCTTTGAAAAAATATTCAAACCCTTGCAATAGTGTCTTATTTTGTGAAATTATAAAATGAGGCACATACATTTTTTATAAACTTAATAGTTTATTCAAAGGTTGAATTCTCACACTGAAGACCTCTAATGTTAAGATACGTTACAGTACATGGCAGCAAAAATAAAAGAGAAAAAAATGAAAAATGTGGATTGCATAAGTATTCAGACCCTTGAATTCACCCTACAGGAACACTGACTGTGAAGCATGATGAGAAAAGTGAAGACTATGAACGGGAAATCGATGCTTCCAGACATCCTCACAGCATTCCCATTGTGCAGAATAAACCTAGATACAGACTGCATCAATCACATTGAGCTGTGAGATCATTCTTCTGATGATACTAACCATGCATCTCAGGATTAAAATTTGCCACTCAATTTGGATGTTTAAACCATGACTTATAAGTTACAAAATAATAAAGCATTTTGAATATGATATGATGCCCCCCATAATTTTATCATCATGTAGTTTGTGTTTAAAGTATGTATTGTTACATTTTTTGTATTTGAAATACAGCTGGGCACCAGTTTTGATTGACAGGTATATCTTCTTGTTCTTAGTTATTTGTGGTCTTCTATTATCCAGTCCAGTATTTGCAGTCAGACAAACCAAGCCCTTTTTGTAACGCAGGGCACATCTGGTTAATGGATGATACGGGCAACTGCCCAGACTGCCAGGGTCAGGGTGAGGCAGGTTATGTGACGGGCATATGTGAAAATAATTTTGGAGCAGAGCTATTTGAACCTGTGCTGTGTTTAAGTTGACAAATCATTTTGCTTAAACTACGTGATGTAGAGTTGCCATATTTCAGATCCTCAACATCAGCACACAGCTCATAGCTCCAGTCCCTTTGTGTTAGCAGAAGGAAACACATGGGCGCCAAATTCCCTAAAATGGGCCCAGTTGTTACATGTCTGGTTAATGTCAGTTCAATCACTTCACTCCCCACAGTAAAGTAACCTTCTCTTGTATGTGCTCCAGCCCATTTATACATGACTCTTCTTTCTACTACTGACATACACCTTTCCTTGCATCTCTGTTGTGTCTGTGGTTTGTTTCATAATTGAATACAGTGTACAAGGTTTAATATCCATATTTTAACACAAGCAACACAAATAGGGTGAAGGCTTTCCTTTAAATGAACAGTAACAAGATCTCATTAAGAATTATTCTTAGTCTTCCAAAAGCATTACAATAGAGTTTTTCCTTATTTATGTTACACGTGTGGTTATGTACTGGCGCACTCTTAGCTTAGTAAGATTATTCATGGAAATTCTCTTAAATTTCTTCCATTAGAGGAAGCAACCACTTCTTGATCTTCAACTTTTTAGTTTGTACTCAGTTTAAAATGATAAGCCACTTGAAATTAGCTCACAGATTTTTATCTTCAGTGCAATCAAACTCTCAATCAATAATGTACCGCATACAGTGAAGTAATATATGAATAATAACATAAAATAAGTTCCAAGCTAAAGTAGACCATTCATGCTACTGTAGCTAACACATTAGAAACTGCCTGTCTAGCACATTACACTGTACACATTAACGGAGAGTAATAGATCCAAGGATAACATCCAGTCATTTCTTGAAGATGTTAAGGTTATCAGCTCTAGCAATATGGTTAGATAGCTTGTTCCGTTCTTCCACATCCCTATGTTAAAAAGTGACTCCTGTTATCCGTTTTATAGGCATTTTAGTTCATGCTTGTGTCATGTTTTAGTCTTGATTCTGAATGTCTGTTGGGTAAACAGAGATTCAAAAAATGTCAGTTGGTTTCCCTCTCTCCCTCACACCTGGAAAATGCTCCTCAGCCAAAACGTTGTGTCTCTTGAATAACTTTATCAATGTCTTTGAAGGTATTTATTGTCTTTCAGCCTTTCCCGGAATTATTAACATTCACACTTGACACTTGATTATTAACATTCACACTTGACTTGACGGTAAAAATGGTTAAAAAAGTTGACGAGGATTTGCTTTTTGAACCTTGTAAGCATCATTTAATTTCGTAATGGAGCAAATAGTTATTTAAAACGTTTGCAGCTTTAAAGTCCAAACTCAGAGGTAGCCCCATTTTCACCTGCTAGGACCCGCATTTCAGTGGAACTTAATTTTTTGGTAATGTGATTTACGACGACACAAACACTGATGAAATGCTTCGGCCGATATTGATTTGCTGCATTATCACCGCTGTTCAACTAAAAACTAACAGGCCACACCAACACTTTCCTCGGAAGAGATGAACAGACCACTCCCGCTACGCTGCGGCGCGTCAGTGCATTTGTATCCCTTCGTCATTTCCTTTCCTCCCTCTGGCTTCCATCTTGCTCCCCGCGTGTGTGTGCTGCAAGTGTGCAGGTCAGTTTGGAGCCCCTTAAACCTCCTCTTTCCTGCATTATCACACCAAAGTTGGACTGGATAAGGTAACTAGAATCCGGTAATGATAATCGGCACGCAAATGGGAAAGCAGAACCAACAAAATCAGTGGTAAATCAAGACGTGGTTTCGCTGAAATGGGCTGAGCCGCAGTGGCAGGCCCGATCAGCCTTGCACAGGCAGAGGGAGTGGAGGGTCTGAGTTTTGTGAGTCGCTCAAGGTTTAAGCGAAGACATTTGCCTTTAAAGTAGGCACGCTCTGCCTACATAAGAATAACGCTTGGGTTTGAGTATAATTATTTGGTATGGATCGTAATAGTGCGTCAGAAGAGCATGGAACTCGTGCGTGGTTTCGGCTTATTTCAACGAGTTGATTTTGAATAAAATGATCTTGGGTGTTCGGATGTAGCATGCTTGCAAAGTTCGAGAGAGAGAAAAGCTGTCCCAGGTGTAATAAATGAGTAGGTCTTTTTGAATTGCTGAACGCATTGGTATGCTTGTTTTTGGTGCAGTACTAGAAAAATTAAGCATGAAACAAAATCGTTCAATGAAGGTGAATTTCGCTAGGCCCCGAATAAAAAATACCCAACCTGTCGTTCTTGGTGATTTGTGTTGAAGAATCTGGACAGAAATGTGAGAACTGGTGATGGGAATAAGTACTGTAATGTTTGATTATAAAGCTGAAGATCTAGGGATAGAATACAAGTGTAACAAATGGTCTTTATTGCATATATGATGTTGGAAAAGTGCATATTAAGACCTATCCTCTTATGGATGCCGAAATTACTTGGCGGTGTCATTGTATCGGGGTGAGTTGTGGAGAGTCGATTTGTGTTACTGCCTTTTTGTGTTAAATATCTAATTCTGATTAGATATTTCCTCAGCTTTTTAATGGCAAAAGTGTATGCAGCGTATTAAAAAGGCGGGGTTGAGAGATTTTGTGTCTTTTTCCAGCTCGTTGTGTAGGTTAGTGACAGTCCTTCTATGGTGTGGTCACTGACGGGGTCTAGTGATTGAAAGCTCGCAGCTGCCTGTCCCTGCATCGTCCCAAGTTTGAACTTTTATGCAGTGTCAGTTAAATATTATTTTAGTTACAAATGAATGATTTAGGCATGTAATCATATTTCCTGTGATAGCCAGTTTTAAACGATTCGGTGAATAATTGTACCAAGCTAGTAATGTTAAGTCCTCAGTACCGTTTTTGCTAGTTACTGATATGGGTAATGCAGATTCTCCTCATGTTGTGCTTAGATGTAACGTTTTGTGTCTGAACAAAGTTAATTGAAAATACATTGTTTCTGCAACTGAACGTGAAAGTTTACTTACACTATTTCAGAGGACAGTTCATGATGTATTAGTTTCAAAAGACAACAGTACACTGTGTCAGAGACTGTGTTTTTTTTTAACTAACAAGGTCTCGTGGGATTTTTCATTCCAGATGAAAGAAACAATCATGAATCAGGAGAAACTAGCTAAGCTGCAGGCACAGGTCCGCATTGGTGGCAAGGTAAGGCATCGACATGGACCACACCCAGCTCAGTCATGTTACTTCCAAAAGTGCAATGAGTGTTTCTGGTCAGTTTGTGTGGTGTTTAGTCTTCCCAAAGTTTCTTTGTAACGGCATCTTTTTTCTCCATTTCATATTGAAGCACTGTCCTAGCTGCAGTCCATAAATGCAGTGTCTGAAACTCATCACAGCTATTAAAGAAGTTGCATTGCACTGTAAAATAACTTTGGAGTACATTTAATCCAACTTTGACAAAACCTTGAATGGAAATTGAGATGGCATCTAACAGCAAGCTTATTTTTCCTTTTTCTCCTTTTTATTAGGGGACAGCTCGCAGAAAGAAGAAGGTTGTCCACAGAACAGCAACTGCAGATGACAAAAAACTTCAGTTCTCTTTGAAGAAATTGGGGGTCAACAATATCTCTGGTATTGAGGAGGTACAAAATTGTTTAAAAGCTCTCGTGTGGTCTCCTATAAAAAACGAATGCCTCTCCATTTAAGAAACGCAGCTTAATTGCTTTGAAAGAACTTGAAATGTTTCAAAATGACAAGAACAGCCCATCTAGTTTGTGGGCTTTTTCAGTAGCTACCTGATTCAAGGATCTTATTCAGCCATTTTTTGAAAACGAAAGCAGATTATCAGTTTTTTTGACAGTATGGGGACTCAGCAGTGTGTTTCACTTTACTGTAACCCTCTATTGCAAAGAAGTCTCTTCTGTTTCCATTTGTAAAACAGAATATAGTTGTATATGTTAAGCAAATTGGTTCTGCAGGCATTTGCCAGACTCTTAGACAGTGCAGTGCTTAAGATGTAGAACTATAAATATTATTTGTGTATCAGACTCAAGCTTTTCATGTTTGCTACTCTGATTGGAGCTCTATTTTGCCAGTACCAAAAATAAATGAGGTTGCCTGTCCACTTAGGCATCACATGAAGCATCTGAAGTATCTCACAATTCTGATTTTAAGAGAAGGGAGAGCACAGGGTTTCTAGTATGTGGTGTATATTTAAAATGGTCCAAGTTGCTGTGACATGTAGAGGGGAGGTTGTTGGTTTGAGTACTTGCAATGGGGTGAAAACTGAGGGTTGGTAGCTTTGTGTAGGTTGAATACCTCACTGTACCTTAAGGTTTTTGTGAGGAATTTTTTTTATATCGATTGCTTTTTTCTGTTTTTCCAAGGTTTTACAATAACACCGTTTTCTTCCTGTAGGTGAACATGTTCACAAACCAGGGGACTGTCATCCATTTCAACAACCCGAAAGTGCAGGCATCTCTGGCCGCCAACACCTTCACTATCACAGGGCATGCTGAGACTAAACAGCTGACAGAGATGCTGCCCAGCATCCTGAACCAGCTGGGTGCAGACAGCTTGACTAGCCTGAGGAGACTGGCTGAGGCTCTGCCCAAACAATGTAAGTATGAGGAAAGGTAATAAACTGTTGAAACAGAATCTCGCAGAATCTCGCCTTGCTTGATAGTTGCTTTGAGGCTCCTAAGAGTACTTGCAGGATTCTCGTTAGCTCATCCACAGAGCAGTGGTCTGCTTTGGGTTGATTTCTGGCAGCATTGCAGGGCCATCTGTTGTCCTGGCGATTTTGAACTTTAATTTTGTCCACGATACTCTCCTCATGGACAGTAATGACATCCTTTTACCCCCAAAGCTCAAGGAATTGCCAGGATGGATGGCTCTGCTATGCTACCTGAAATGACACTGCTCTGCCATTTGTATTCAGCCATCGTAATGTGTAATGGGACAAGGAAAGCACTGCCCCAGTCGATGGTATCTCTTTCAAATGTGCACTAGTGAAATGGAGATGAACAGGTGCACTACTTCTGCATATACTTTGCAGATGGCTTATGGTTAGACTGTTAATACATAGTGAGTGTATAATACTGTATAATAGAAAAGAGAAAAGCTATAGAGCTCTGTGGTCCAAGTTGTATTGTTTGCAATGAACTCTTGTAGTCCTAACCATAGAGGGACAAAAAATGGTTTCCAGTTTACTGATTGTTTAGATAGCAGAAGTGTGGTTCTTATAGCAAGGCTTCAAAGCTGAGGGCTCATGCTTCTTTGTGTGGTTCACATACTAACATGCTGATGTGGTTGCTTAGAAGCTTTCCAGAAACAAGAATTTAACTATGGAGTGGGGTCGTAGTTGATATCTTATTTCTTTTGGGAAACAAACCCAATTTGCTTCTTCAGATTGTTAAGCCTCCAGAAACGAGTTAATTTTTTTTTTGTGTTGCAGCTGTGGACGGGAAAGCACCACTAGCTGCTGGTGAGGAAGATGATGACGAAGTTCCAGGTGAGATGTCGTCTTTGTACTATGAATTTAGACCAGAATCTTGTGAAGTGAAATGTTTTGAAAGATGGATTATGGGGTATGATGTGTGCCTCAAATTTGAACACTTCTTACATGTTCTTGCTGCTATTCGTACATTACTATGAGGGTTGCTTAATGAAATAACTTTTTCCCTATACATTTCTTTTACGTGGAACTTTGTATTAAAGCATGTATTGCTTTATCTGGGCAGAGCTCTTAAAAAATAGGATGAAATGTGAAAATGCTCATTCGTGGGGCAACTCTGTGGACACAGGGATATGGAAAATCTTCATTTACATTACAGCAGCTGTTCTAGAGTCAATTTAACCTTCTTTCACCCATCAAGCTTCACCGTGAGGTATTTCTACCCCTTAACCTGGAATTTGTCAAATGCATAAAGCCCACAGCAGCTCTCTTTTGTCATTATTCTTTTTTAAACCTTCTTACTTACGAGGAACAGTCATGGCCATCCGCACAGAACGTTTATACATTCCACGGTGTTTGTAATTAGTTATGTGCAGGTGTATTCTTGTGTTAAGCTGGGCAGTTTTATCTGAAAGTGACCCACAGCCGAGCCTGGAGCACATGTATAAAGTTCAGTTTGGAAAAGTTCTTTCCAGGTTTGTCATTATCCTGCTTTTTTAGGGTTTTATTCTAATAATTCTTGAGTCAAACCAATTCCATGGAAGTCTGCAATCTTGAAACCATCCGTTCTGGGTCCTTTTTGGTTAACCTGCTAAAAATGCTGTCCTGAAACAAAACAGGTCAGTGAAGGTATGCACTTAACTGGTTCACGTAACCAAAGCATTTCTCTCAAGTGTCTTTAACTTTCCACTTTCTTAAAGCACCTAAATTGATGTAAATGACATTCATATATATTCCTGGTCTGACCAGAAACTTTATTGCTTTCATTACTCTTAATTGCTACGTACTGCACACTGCAAGGCACTACTGGATCTGGAACAGCAGTTTATTGACCCAGGGGTTGCCCTGCTCAGATGTCAGTAATTGCTAGCTCCCCGGACAATGCAAAAATAAAACCCAATTTTATTCAGCTGCCTCATGACCTTCTGAAGGCAGTAAGCGGTTTTGACCCACAGCATGGGTATTCTTTTGATACAGAGTCCAGCAAAAGTTTCTATACTAATGTTTGATGCTTACAGTAAATTAGAAATGGAAGTACACAGGCAATTTGCAGACAAAACAGTAGCAGACTGTTTTCAACAGTCCCAACTTTTCAAACATTTAAAGACCGATTAACTGTTTCCCATCTTAACAAGGCTGAAAGATGTTTCTGCATGTTACACATTGTGATAGACCAACATGGAGCTGTTAAGTGTGACAGGTGTAACTGACTTGGATACTTTATTGATCCCGTCAGGGAAATTGCAGTGCATCAGCAGCTTTACACAGACAACACAGCCACAGTGTAACGAATGATACAATAATAATATTACAATACATACAATACAATCAGTACAGTGAGGGGTGCACTAAAGGAGTTACCCACAGTCTTGACACACAAAGAACAAACTAGAGTGCAGAAAAATCGTATAACACATATGAATATAAATATAGATGTAATACAGATATAAATATAAATGTATTGCACAGGTCCCTGGCATATATTGCACAGAAAACGTTTGTAAACGTGAAAAGAAAGAGAGCAGATGTAGCAGTAGATGTGTTCAGTCCAGAAACAGGTCACTGTCAATGTTGCCTCTGCCCAGACGCAAGGTGGATGCATTGTACAGTCTTATGGCAGAAGGCAAGAATGACCTCCTGTAGCGCTCCCTGTCGCACCGTGGATGAATCAGTCTATTGCTGAACGTGCTCTTCATTTCTGCAAGCCTGTCATAGAGGGGATGGGAGATGTTGTCCATGATGGCCTCTAGTTTGGACATCATTCTCCTCTCAGCCACTACCTCCAAGGGGTCCAGGTCAGACCCAATGACAGAGCTTGCACTCCTGATGAGCTTGTTCAGCCTTTTAGAATCCACTGCTCTAATTCCAGGACCCCAGCATACCACTGCGTAGATTCATACAAATTGATTTTACTTGAATTTAAGAGCAAACTTGTATGCAAGTATCTTTTGTGCAAGTGCATAGTTACCTAAATCAATATATCAAACAGTAAATGTGTCAATAGTATGTCCTTAATACTGGTGGAAAGAATATCTCTTATTTTGACAAATGATTTATCTACTGCGATTATGGTATCAAGGAAATGTTTTTGATTAGTTTGGTAGCAATTAATTAATTAAAACATTAGCATATATGTGTAAAACATGTGAAAACTAATTTTACAGTACTGTTTTATTGTGGGTGTTGACAGGGATATAGCAGTCAACTGTTTAGCAGTTGACAGTGTTGTTTATCTGCTACATTATTTGTATTAATAGGACGAATAACTGAAACATTTGAATTAAAGTAGACATGAATCTGTAATATCTTATGTCACTTAATTTGAAACTATTTTGATACTTAATGGTTAGTTTGAATTACAGGACTGAAAACCAGTATACATTGATAGGTGGTATGGTTAAAATGACAAAAATGTGTTCTAATTTTAAAATACAAGATTTTGTAAAGAACGGAGCTCTTTCTAAATTCTTGGATTACAAATGAACTGCAATAATCTGACAATTTTTGTTCCTGTATCTTATCAACACTAACTGGTTAAGAGTTGTATGTGATCTAGTAATTAGTGCTTTTCTAGTATTATACGGGAGTGATTATACTGAAGACTTTTAGAGATATTTGAAACATTTGTATTCCATTTGTAATTATTTTGAATATATCTAACTATTGAGATTATTTTTTATGAAACTCGTACAATTTCAGATTTAGCGTACATCATTTTAGTGCAGTGTACATCTGTAACATTTTAAATCTTTTTTCACTTCTGACAAAACTCATAAAACCCCATGTAGAAGGAAGATGGGGAGAGCAACAGAATAAGTATGCTTGGAATACCGAACAGTTTGCTGTTTCTCAACTACAACATCTGTTAAAACCAAGATTTTTCTCAAGCTATGGTCACATTTTCCACCAGCTCTTAAGCCTGGTTATATCCAAAGTTTTTTTTTTAAGACCTGTTCATTATTAGATGACAGCTTTTCACAATTGTGAAATTTGCCATCCAGATTTCCATGTGTTTGGACACTTGCCTGCCATGCCTATTCTCGCACACTTTTGTTCTTTTTTTCCCCATCTCACGGCACCCTTTCTGTCTTCTTTGCTCCTTAACCAACATGTTTTTTTTTCTGCTTTTCAGTGCAGAATTTACCTCTGCTTCTTCTGTTAAAACCGTTACATCACAGATTGCAAGGGGTTATTAAATAGTTAACGCTGAATATATGGATCCTTGAAGCACTAACGTGGAGTTACCTTCTCTTTCAGACCTTGTGGAGAATTTTGACGAGGCATCAAAGGATGAAGCAAACTAAAGGTCACCCTGAAATGAGATTCCCAACTTGAATTGGCTGTGTGGAACTGCTGTTTTGTATTTGTGACCTTATTTTGTAAATGTTTTTTTTTCTACTGTTCCCATATTCCAATCAAGAATGAAATACCTGTATACTACTAATAGTATGAGATCACACACTATTCAGTCTTTGGGGTCCTCCATTTTTGCTGCTTCCCATGCATTATTGAAGCAACCATCTTTTGCAGCCTGGTTAAAATGAACATGTCTGGAATAAAAGTTTGCATTTCTGAAATGCTTATTAAAAATATGAATGTGTTTTTTGAGTTTTTCTTGGGGTGAAACCATAACTTTGACTTAAAAACTCTATAAAGATTGACAGTGCTTTGGCACTTGTTTTCCTAGTTCAATTGCTTAAAGGAACTGTAATGATAAGGGGATGCTTATTAAGTACAGTAAATAGAGGATGTATATATGTTGTGAATAAGAGTTTGTGGGGAAAAAGGAACATGAACTGGTATCTGGTGAAAATGTGAAAGACCAATTCTAGGTTAAAACTCTTAGAATAAAACATTTCTCTAAGGTTCTACTAACATAGGCACATTAGTCTGCTCCTTCAAACATTATATTGCATTGTAAAAAATCTGATCTGTTTTTTGCAGCTGGTGCTTTTTATAGAAGAAAAAACTAAGCTGAAATCTGCAGAAATAAATGTTTTGTGGCTGCTGAATATAGTTCACTCGATATTTCTGAGTAGCAGTAGAATAATAAACATTATACACCAGTGCGTTTAACCACTACAGTTTTTAAAGAAATTCTTAAGTTTTGTATTGAAAACACATTTGTAGTCCCTTTTAAACGGTTGTGACTACTTTCGTGTCAATAGCAATAGTGCTTCAGAGGTTTTGCATTTACAGAAGCATGTGGTGTTTAAGGGTCCCAGAGGGAATTGTAAACTCTTGAACAAAAATAACAAACTACTTATGAGAGCAAAACAGTACACAAGCATTAAGTATTTAAGTAGTGGGAAAGCTATGAAAGTCATAAACAGAATATCAGGTTTTAATGATATTCACATTCTTTTAGTTATTGACAATAGGGAGGAAATGATTTTGTTTGAAACAATACAACCACTTCACAGATGATAATTGTATTTAAGTTTAGGGTGAAACTACATGTCTTTGTCTGGAATTTCCTTTTAGAATCGCCAGTTATTTTTTGTAGTTGGAAATAGCAAATTGTTTTTCACATCTAAACTTGCAGCTATGATTTTTTTTTTACAGAAAAATTAAACACCTGCAGTACCCTAGATAGACTTCAAAATGCAAATTACTTAAGCAATAAAGAAAATGTTGATTCATTTCTAAAAGAGCTATGGAATTAAAGCAAGGTGTAAATGAGAGTTTTTGAGATTATAATTCCTTGTGTTTATATAGCAGATCAAGATCATTTTAATGGCCATCTACAATTTCTTGTATTAGGAATTAGTCTTTTTGCATCCCCCAACTTGCTCTCCCTGTCTGTGCAGGGGCTCTTTGGCTAAGGATCTGCACCTTGGCAGACGTTGCTGGCAAGTTGCCGGTTTGTATCCCACAGATGGCAGAGGAATCCTACTCTGTTGGGCCCCTGAGTAAGGCCCTTAATCCCAGCTGGTCCATGGGTCCCGTATAAATGGCTGACTGTGAGCTCTGATTCCAAGCTTCTCTCCCTCTCTGTGTGTTTCATGGAGAGCAAGTTAGGGTATGCAAAAAGACAAATTCCTAATACAAGAAACTGTATATGGCCAATAAGTGACCTTATTCTTATTCACCTGCTTCTAACCTACAGTACAGTAGCTCCGTGAAAACAATTTTCCTAGAAGCCAATTAGCCTATTGGACTATGGGAGGAAACCCATGCAAATGCAGGGAGAACATACAAACTGCATGCAGACAGCACTCCAGGTGTGGAACTGAATCCAGGACCCCAGTGCTGTGAGTCACTGTCGCCCCTTCCTCCATGAAATCAGATTTAACATGGAAAGTTCAGTTGGCCATCATGTAACAAAGAACAGCCACACACAGTTTAAATTGATACTGTTTTATAAAATACAACATAAAAGCAGCTTCCCTGAAATTGAAATCTGAACCCTGCTTTTGCTGCAGTGGTAAAGCAATTTCACTTCTGCTTGCACCATACTGTACATATCTAAAATAATACAGACATAAAACAGGCTGAGACTGATTTACAAACACGGTCAATACAAAAACAGTCAATAAATTAAAAAGTAACTAGAAAAGAAAGTCACTTAAACCACCACAATAAAATTATTTTAAACTACTATCATTTATAAAATTGGGAAGAATTGTGAAATTATTTTGAAGCATAAAAAGTAGCAGATGTAAAAGCTGTATTAATCTTGAATCCTAGCTCACATATCTTGGTGGTACTTTAGCTGAAGTTTAAAATATAATAATTAAATCATTCTGGAAGTAAAAGGTATTTGGAGGAATAAATATTGATTAATCATGTTCATTTATGTAAAACATCTTTCTTAATACATTTCTTGTCTCACTGTTAAAATGTCTTTGAGTGCAGCTATACTATTTGATATACAGTACAATACCACACAAGAAGCACAATAATCTAGTTAATGGTTGCTTTAGGGAACAGATGACAAATTGTGATTTTTACATTAGGTACAATTGGCATAGTTAAAGCAAAACATGCAAAACATCTTCAATGCCATTACCCATTTCACGCTTAAGTATTTTAATAACAGTTTAAGTAATCTCTGTAGTCATCTTTATTCTCTTATGTCACTCCTTGATTCCTTGAAGAAGCTTTAACAGGTGAGTTTCCATTACCTGTTGTACTGAAAAAAAAAACAAACCAAAAAAAGGCACTCAGAATAACATCACAGTTTACGTGGTAAAACGTCTGAATGGAACAATGAAACAAAATAATTGGTATGGAAATGACAACGGTAACTATTTTAATTCAAACAGGATCATAATGTAAAGTTGTGTGTTCACTAACAAATGTCGTATAAAACAAAAGCTACAGTACATAGAAACTGTTATTTTAAAAAAATGCTGATAAATACACCAATTACAAAATATGCTACCCTTTTCAAAATCTGAATCGCTGTTTCAATATAAATATGCACATTTTCACTACATTTATCCATCCATTTTCTAGCCACTTAATTCAATACAGGGTTGCAAGCAAGTTGCGCAATATACGGTACATCTTGAAGGGGATGTAGTGTCCAACACAGGTCAGCCAGACACATAAACAAACCATCACACACTCACACCAGGATCAATTTCTCCAATTAACCTACCAGTATGTTCTGGGACTATGGGAGGAACATCTGGCAGAATCCCATGCAAACACAATGAGAACATACAAGCCCCACGCAGACATCACCCTAGGTCAGTCATTAAACCCAGGGCTCAAGTGCTACGAGGCAGCAAATACTAATCTCTTTACCAGCATGCCTCCCCATTTTCAATCCACTATGCATTTTATCTTAATGAGAAAGGATTTATTAAAACTAATAAGTATAAAAAATAATCTGAAGCATATCTAATCTAAAGTATACTAATCTAAAACTAGTCTAAAAATAAAAATAAGTATTTTTGTTATTTGTCTTTCATACCTAGCCTATTCCTAAAGAACTCTTCTTTGCATGTAAAGAAACCTAAGCTTGGGATGTGCCGAGATGCAAGAAAGGGTTTTACAAAATGATGCACTTCCCCTCCAGCTGAAGAAAAAAACACTTCAACAGATTTTTTTCCATGAACCTGTGATTAAAATGTTGTACATATTTTATACATATTTTAATAATTGAGGATCTAATTTTCCAGAGGATGAACTGAACATGCTGAAGCAATAACTTGATGGCAGTGTTTAATTCATGAGGTTCACGAATGATGATTCCATACTGACTACATCTGGGCGCTGGCATCTTAAGCACTCACATGTACAGTTTGACTCTGAACGGACTTAGTATGTGCCAATAGGTCCTGGTATATAAAGCCAAAATGTTTGATAAAACATTAAAAATGTGTCCTGAATGACTTCACATAATTACAGCTGCTGTGCACATTGCTACTCAATGTAAAACTGGCATGCTGCATAATGGTACATGGACATTCCTGGTTTGTTTCTTAGTGTTGTATTTGTCAGGTTATTTCTCTGGGAATCAAAAATCAGCAGCAGTCAGACTGGGACATGGACAGAAAACATGGCCCAGGTTTGAACATACAGTATGTCCACAGTATTGACCATATCTGTGGATAAATTAAATAACTAATCTTTTCATGAGAAAAAAAGTCTGCCATTTTTGGCATGCCCATTTGAAGTGTCACATCACTACTAATATCAACTCATGTCAATCCAGTCAGTGAATGCAGATGTTTAACTATAAGACACACCAATCTTTCTCTATAATTCTTTATTGCATTTTGGATCCGAGTTTGTCTTTGGCGGACGCCTTACCAGAACCACAAAAATGGTCCATGTTCGAATGGATGTTCTCCCTGTGCTCCGATTTCCTCCCACAGTCCAAAAACATACTGGCAGGTTAATTGGCTTCTGAAAAAACTGCCCCTGAAGTGAGTGTGTACGTGTGTGTGTCTGTGTTTGTTGTGAGCGCAGCAGTTCCATCCAGAGAGTATCCTGCGTTGCATACATTGCTTATTGGGATAGGATCTGGCTCCCCTGTGACCCTGAATTTGATGAAGCAGTTAGAGCAGTGGTTCTCAAACTGTGGTACGCGTACCAGCAGTGGTACGCGGAGCGCCGCAAGCTGGTAC